CCCTTATGTACTACTTCTTTCTTGCTATAGCTGGCGCTAACACCCTCCTCATTCTGTTGTCCACTCACCAACACCGCCTAAGAAACTCATTTGCAGCAGCCAGAGAGGGTGGTGAAGATGAAAGCAAAGATTGGAAGCGTGTATCGCCGGATTAGAGCGCACGGTAGTTTTGAGATGGATCAGAGGGCGATTCCTTACATTAGTCCTAAACCGGACAGTAGGGCGATTGATTGTGGTCATAATCTGGAAAACCTTCTAAATCGGAATGATATAGATCCTGCACCAAAATCCTGCCGTACAGGCGTAGCGGTCGTGGCAAGGTTATTCGCAGTGTCTTCACTCAAGAACTTGTTATTTACATAAGCCAGATAAATTGATACAACAAGTGATTAAGATAGCAAAACATGCCATGTGCTTGTCGTTGTATTACCCCAAAATCGCATGCAGCCTCATCACGCGAGAACTCTTTTCCTCATTTTCTACGCACCTTCAATTGACCTACATGGCCCAAAGCGGGCAGTACTTTGTATCCCATGACTCGCAGTAACCGCCTTGGACCACATAGTTAGTGCCTCCTTGTCCGTGAACCTTTGTGTCTCTGGGTGGCCCTGATGGGGCGCACCGGACATTGTGCCCCCGGCAATCGCCTTGTGGATCGCCAGATGTGAGGGTGCAAGCTGGCAGGCAAGCCCCGACTTTGACAGGATAAATTTGGCCGGGGCAAGACAACTCCATGGAGCGACAGCGACAAGCGTTATTAGTAGGACAGGGCGATATGATTTTACCTGCTGATCTTGTATGGGCAGGGTTGCCGTCGAAAATCTCAAACGTTGCGTTATCAGCGGATGGCGGCGGCGAGAAGTCATAGACTGCAAGTGAGGTGGCAGGTGTGGCTGATGGGGGCAATTTGGCCGAAGTCTGATTGCGGGCCGTTGGATACCCTGTGGAATCTTGGACACAAAGCGTCGAGTCGTCCCATGCTGCACGGGCAGTGTGGCTCCAAAGTTGTGTCATGTTATAGATCGTCTCAAGCGTGTAGTAGATACGACAATCGGCAGCCTGGTATTGGAACTGGAGGGGTGTGAGCTCCGTGCCGCGCACTTGGTTCCTGACTGTGAAACCGGCGTAATTGATCCACATTCCTGTATCCGTTCGATTGGGCAGTTGTAAAACTACTTCGGGCTTGTTCACAGGCAGATACTGCAATCCTTCGTCAAAATCGTAGTCGAGGGCGTCAGCAGAGTATGCGGCGGCGCCACGAGTGCCGCCGACTGCTTGCATGGGGCCGGGCTTGGGCTGACCACCAACGACGATGGTTTTGACTCCAGCTTCATAGGTCATGAATTCGACAAAGACAGCGCATGCAGAGGCGCACAAGCCATCAGTAAGAATGACTATTTGTTCAGGAGCCCAAGGTGGTGAAGTGTTGATAATGGGGTCGCTGGGATCGTAGCCATATGGGTAGTCGCCAAATGCGGAATAGTCGAAACTCTCATCGGACAGATTGTATCGTTGACTCCCCGAGAATGTGTCGCCGTTGCTAATCTCTGGACCAAAAAACTCGTCCCAAGACGAGAAAGTTTTCCCGGTAGCGGCGTTGATGCGATTGGTGACGATCCACTCGCTCGACGCCCAGTTGTAGTTTTCAGCCTGGTGCTGGCCTGACTGGTCCCACCAGTCTGTATAAGCCTCACCAAGATGATCGCTCAATTCATGACTGCGTTGGCGGCTTGCACCGTTGGGCTCAAGATTCGGAAAGAATTGCTTGAATGTATCGTACGCAAGGAACACAAGACCTCCAGAGTTCTGTTGCAGATCGATAATGACACGGGAAGCCTGACTTTGTGATGCGTTGCCGATGAAGTCGCGAATCGCCTGCCGAAAGTTGGAGGTATCGATACCGTTCTGATAGAATGAGGGTATGCTAAGAATGGCGGTAGATGTCCCGTCTAACATATAGCTGGACACGATACCTCCTCCTGTGACGGAAAGATCGGCTTGGATGGTCATTGGGTTATTCGGGTATGCGCCAAAGCTGTTCATGCACCAGTTTTGGCTCGACGAAGCTCCTTCTTTGCAAAAGCTTTCTAGTGCTGCTGTAAAGTTAAACGCACCATCGCTTTGATCGGCTGGAGGAGGAACCTCGTCTTCGATGGCTGGCCACCACTGCTCGCCTTCACTATAACTGTCTGGCAAGAAGCCAAGAACGAAATAGTTGTAGAAGTCGCCGCCAGTGGTAAGGGGTCCTGTATCCTCACAACCGATGCAGATTGCCCACCAGACGGTTTCGACGACAGTGGTATTCTGGAGTGTAAAGTTTAGCGCATCAGAGAATACTCCATTCCCAGGGTAAAGCCTTGCCGACTGGAATGTACTCGGAATACCCTGTATGTTGAGCGCAGGGCTATTCATTATCGCGTTCCAATCGGCATGTGATTCTAAGAAGCCTTGAGAGTTCTGTTCGGCAAAGTGTTCCAGATATTCGATGACGTCTACCCCGTTGATGTGGGTCACAGGTGACGCTTCGTATTCATCAATCGCCCAAGCTTCATATAGGTCCTGATCAAGGTAGACGTCTGGCGCTTGCTTGCCGTCAATTGACGCACTTACAAGCCCATATGAGCCGACGAAGGAGAATGCCGACAGAGCCCCCGCATTGAGGATGACGTGCGTGTCATGAAGCTGATTTACCAGGAGCTGAATCTGTGCCTCAAACTCGTATTGGTTGTTGTAGGCAGCCGCAGTCACGTTCTGCTTGATCTGCTCTAAGGCTTGGTTGACGTCGAATGGTGCTCGTTGGTAGCCTGCGGGTGGCGCTTTGAGGTATCCCAGTGTGGACTGGAACTGTAAGGTCATATTGTAGTAGTCGAGGAAGCGCATTGCGACGGATGGATTGAAGGGAATGCTCTGCAAGCACTCGTACACCCATGATGCCTGGAATAGTGTATAGTCTTGGCCATTGATTAGTCAAGGCGTTCTCCTCAATCGTATAACATGGTACTGACTGTTGTTCACAGCGACAATAATATCTCCACACGCAGTAGAGATAACTTCGGAAGAAACTGTAGGAGGCTCAACTTGTCGAGGGGCGAAAGAGCCTTTCAGAGGGTTTGCCCATCCGTATGCCAACAGGCACGATATCGCCAGGCGCTTAACGAGAGACATGACGCGCGACCAAGAATCAGTAACTAAAGCGAGTTATCTTTTCAGTAGATAGAGTGGATCTCCTCAACTTTTGAACTTCGGTGACCACATCTTGTGTAACTCTGTGAAGCTCACTAGTAGGGATCTGAATGGGTGGCGATGGCTTGCGCAGCCTCAACGGGAACTCCATGAAATTGGAATATTACAGGAACGGTAGGCCGCCAACGTTTGCTATCGAATGAATGAACGCTTGCTCCTGCCAATGCACGAAGCCACCGATTCCCACAGGCGCAGTGATAGGAAAGCTGCAGGGGGTAAATAGATCATGAGATAATTTAAGCCTTTCCCGGAATTGCGCTAGAGGCTTGTCAGTCGATCTGTGGGTTCATGCGCGGAGTACAAAGCAGTCATCTTGCATTTCAGCCGCACTTGGCCCCCACATGGCCTTTTGGTCTATCCCACGCGGTTAAAGGAGTCGGTAGGCTGAAGAGATACAAGTATCCCTGATTCGATATATCCAAAGTCGACGGGAAGCTGGCTACGAGTTTGCATAGCCCAGTCGCTAGCTGATGGTCCAAACGGTAGATGAAAGCTGGGTGATAGAAGCCCCTCGTCCGCGCTGGAGTTTAGCGAGCAAATAAAGTCCAGATTTGCACCTATAGAGATTATCGTGAATGCAGCAGAGGCGCACGTTTAGTGTGTCAAAGGTTCGTCCGGTCGTGGGAGGACCTGTCTAGAAAGGGAGAAGGTTGAAGAAGGCAAAAGTGGGCAGTAGAGAAGAGGCAGCGAGTTCGCGAACTAGGCGGATGTTTACCTCGAACAAGAAAGTGCTGTATACAGTCGACCAACGCAGCGTTACATTGTGCGACGTGCCGGCTGACACACAGGTTGTGTGGAGGTGGAGGACGACGAGTATTTGTGGATTACGCGCCAGGCTAATTGACCGGTTGCATGACATAAGCCCAATGCACGGACATGGATGGAGCGGGGGCCAACCCACTGGAATCCGTCGTTCGTCCCGACTCCCAAAAGCAACACCTGCAGCCTTCAAACAACAAATGAATGGCAACTTCCTTGCTAATGAGTCTGCAATTTCGTGGCGCCTACGACAATGTCGGACGCCGCGGCTGGAAACATTCCAGATCCTTTTGCGCCACAAACTCACGTACCACACACAGCCTTGAGCCGAAACACGCTACATGGCAGCGAATATGATCCCACCATATTCAACAAGTTTTTCGCATCCCCAGCCTTCTGCGCATGGTCTTCGGGTAGTAAATCCTGGCAACTGCATTGCTATGGAGAGCCTGGGTGTGGCAAAGTGAGCTCCTAGTGATCTGGCAGAAAACAGTACTTACCATGATAGACGACTGTAGCTGCCTTCGCTGCCACCCGACTGCCGTCTAGCATCAATGGGATCAACACGGCTGTCGCATCGATATCCATCACTCAGCATGTGTGGTCGACATCCCTGGGGTTTATCGAAGACCTTTTCCAGCTCATATACTCTGAACTCGGTACTGAACACAACGTGGAGTATGAAGCATATCAACTTGCGTGTTACTCCGGAAGTTCGGCAACTGAGCGGATACAAAAGCTGATCGAAGCTTTAAGTAGCTTCGCATCCAGCGCTTGCAAGTTTATCATTCTTGACGGATACGATCGCATCAACGAAGCATTGCAGTCGATTGTCGATACACACTTATCCGCCTTGAAGCTCAGCGGCTTCAAGGTCTTGATCACACGGAGAGTCCCAGTGTTCTCCATATCTCGCAATAAAGATTGCGACAAATGCAAGCAGAGTTACCTGGAGCTCTGGTGGGCATGTTCAAATTGCAACAATTTCGATCTGTGTTATGACTGTGAAAAGAAGGAACAGCTGGAAACCTCTCACATGTGCCCAGCGAACGGTTTCAGAGAGCCTTATCAGTATGTCAGCGTCAAGTTGGGTTACTTTAACATTGAGCGCTTGCTCGAAAAGAGACTGAGCATGCACTATCGAGACACCCAGCCAGAGGCCACGAACCGCATTGCTGAGTATCTCGAGGAGAAAGCTGGTGGCAACATAACAATTGCGTTGTTGTATCTGGAAGATGTTTTTATCCGGGACGAGATCGCTACTTTCAACACAGATCGGGTCGATGACAGGCTGCCCAGGGATGTCATTGCTTATTTCGACACCGAGATGAGCTTCATCGAGCGCAAACCGGAACCAGAACGTTTACCTCCGTTACATGCAATTGCTGCCGCTGCGCACCATTCGAATGGCATTTCCCTGGAAGAATTGGACCAGTGTATAAGTCTTGCTCAGAGAACTTGCTTGAGCCTAGATTATCCCAGATCTGTTGAAGACGTCTTTACTGCAGCAAATGGATGGCTCACAGATCTTCGCACCGTAGACCGGAAAGTGGAAATATGCTGCCAACCCGCCTTCCCTTTGTATGTGAAAGAGAAGTACAATGATTCGTTGGAACGAGCGAGACGCCGAGTCGATTCGACAGCGGAGGGAAGCCCTGGTGCTATCTTATCACATCAGTTCCAAGAGACATCCTCATCAGACCAAACACCTGATCTCTTGGGAAGCACATTCGACACATTGACAAGCGAAAGGCCTCTCCCAACACTGCTCACGAGCCTCAAACATGGCCTTGGCATCCGCGAGCCGGAGGATACCTACGATCGGACTTTGTTCCTTGACAAGGACGAAAAACTAGTCCAATCGCCTCCTAGAATGAACAGCGCCGAGTATGTACCGAGTATGTCTCGGGGTATCTTTCAGGACCATGAGCCCAGAAGAAAGGTCACGCAAGCGGAAACGGCATCAAAACAGTCGCCAATGGGCGTATGTGACTTTTGCATCAGCAGTGTGTTAGAGTCCGCTGCATCTTCCGGCCAACATCGAGCCTCGATAGATGGTACAAATATCGCTTTGAACCAATGCACATTTTGCACATCGCTCTACGCCAACATGGAGCACTTCCTATCGAACACTGAAGACTGGCCACTGTATCACTGGACCCTTCGAGCGCTGCCACGCGGCAGGGAGCTAAGAGGATCGATGATGCTGCGGTTTCGGTCTTCTCATCCGAAATTTACAACCAAGTCTTTCCGAGTCCTACCAGGAACTGATCTGTATGTGCCTGCGCCTGAGGATCTACCAGAAACAACACATCCAGAACTCAGTGGAGGGACTCAGATCAACAAATGGATGAACACTTGTATGCGCGATCATCAAGACTGCAGCAAGGCCTGGCACGACCAACGATCCAAACTCTCCTTCCTACCGACGCGACTTCTGGATGTTGACACTGGAGGTGACAATGTCATCCGCTTAGTAGATACCAAAACGACGAATGTCAAGGGCCCCTACTGCACGTTGAGCCACGCTTGGGGACCACGAGAGAAGCCGTTCCTCACTACCACCGTGTGGAACATGGCGAAGCATCTAATCACAGGCATTACTCTGGACGAGCTTCCAGACAACTTCCAAGAAGCGATACGGGTGACCCGCTTCTTGAAGGTGCGGTATATCTGGATTGATAGTCTCGCGATCGTTCAGGTTCCTTTCGGCGACTTTGCAAAAGAAGCCGACCTCATGCACAAGGTGTATCGGTACTCGCATTGCAATATCGTTGCAGCGGACTCAAAGGATGCATACGGCGGTCTGTTCAGGGAACGCACACCTCACAAAATCCTTCCGGTCAAGTACCAAGGTACTGATGCGCGTCATCATTTGGGGGAGAAGAGTTGGACGATTGTTCCGGCGGATCTCTGGGAGAAAGAACTTCTAAGCTCACCCATATATGGCCGTGCATGGGTCTTTCAAGGTAAGCACAACCCAACGGCACTTGATACATGTTCCGCCGCGAGGCGATTACAACCCACTAGAAGCTAATTTTGGGCAATCAACAGAACGCATCCTCTCTCCCCGCATCCTCCACTTCACAAAGCATCAGATCTTCTGGGACTGCGGCACGCTCTCAGCCTGCGAGGTATTCCCAAAAGGACTTCCCTTTCCTCTCGACCACAAAGCGAGCACGGATCGACACTGGAGAGGACGGCTAGCCAAAAGCACCGTCTCATCCAACGCACTCATCGGCGTCAACGACAACGAAAGCTCCTACACTTTCTGGATGTCCGCGCTTCAAAACTACACGGAATGCGAACTGACCAATCAAGGCGACAAGACAATCGCAATCTGGAGTATCGCAAAACTGCTACGTGATTTCATGAGCGAGCAATACGCTGTGGGTATGTGGTCTGAGGCGCTCGAGGAGCAACTGGCATGGAGAGCGCGGGATACTAAATCATGTGAGAGGATACCGGAGCTCGATCTCAATATCCCCAGCTGGTCATGGGCCAGTATCAAAGGTGCTGTTGTGCCTCAGCACCGACTGGCCATACGATCGTATAATATCACAGATCATCATGGAGCTGTCGTCCAATTCACGGTCAAAGAAGAAACCAGGCAAGGTGACAAGGAGCCTGTATTAAAGAGCAGGATGTTGGCACTGAAACCCCACATGAACCTCGGGCGACTGGTAGAAGTGCAAGAAGACCAATACCGTCTCCAGTGCCTGAACGTTAGTTTCAGCGACGCAATTAAACTAGATGTCTTCCCCGACACCCCGGTAGCCTGCACAGGCATCAATCGGGTTTATTGCACATTCATCATCCTCGCCGCATCCGCCACTCCAAACCCCACCAACACCCCCCAAGCGCCCCAGACGTACTCTGGCGTGGGTCTCCTCCTCATCCCACACTCTGCCTGGTTCACCGAGCAAGAAAAGCTATACCACGAATACAAAAGCGCAATCGCAGGCGTAGAGCTGTCTCAAGCACAAAGATGGCGACTGGACGCATTCGAGAAACTCACGTTGCAGCAGTCAGAGCGAGTCATGAAGATGGGAGGGAAGATTGAAAGCGTGTATCGGCGGATCGGATCGTTGCAGTTCCGCGATCTGGATGAGCGGGCTTTCAATGAGATGACGAATGACCGGGATAGGGAGGATATTTGGTTGGAGTGAAGTGGCTTTCTTTTGGTACATCACCTCTCCAGACCTTAAGTTGCGCATGTTGAATTCCTCTACAGTTGACTTACTTTACTATACTATTCTATTCTGTAGTCACTATCTACTTTATCTCGTAGTACTATAATAACGCAGAGTAAGACAAGCTACTTATAACTCTTGTAATACATTAACTATATACGCAAAGGTAGTCCTTGTAGAACAAGAGAGATCGCAACCCTTAGACTCTTTAGATCTTGTTCCCCTAATATCACATCTCTCTCCTTGACGTCAAAAGAGAAGCCTCCAGAACTACGACCTCCCACCTGGCCCACAATATGATATCAAACACAATATGTCAACATCACTACACCACAGCTACCACCATCAACCGCCATCTCAAAACAGCACAGCCCATCTCTCCTTCTCACAGCAACAGCCACTTTCAAGCTACAACCTACTTACTCTACGTCTCGTCCCGTGTACAACAAGCCCACTTCAAACAAGAACCAATTACAAGTAACAACGTTATGCCTAACGTTTCATCAAGCCGCACCAACGCGTTCGCGAAATACACTACTACACGTCTAGTTTCGATCTGCGTGCGTCACTCCACCCAGTGCGCTTCAAGAGCCTCAACGTTACTAAAGTCTTCCTCAACACATTGATCAAAGCATGCGATACCACACTGACAAACACCAAGCCTAAGACCATATTCGTGAAGCCGCTGCGAACCACACACGAATGCTCGGTAGCCCTCCCCTTCGCTTCTTCCGCGAACCGCTTTGCTTTGCCGTTCGTTGGACCCTAGCGGCCTAGCCTAACACGAGATCAGCGAATCGAAGACGCGAAGAAAACGAGCGTTGGGGAGTGAAAGCACATTCCATGGTCTTATTACCAATACATGGAAGAAAGAACGGGGCAGGTGGAGATGGGGAAACAGCAGAGACATGGTTCTTGATTTAGTTCAAACGATGGTCGAAAAGTGACATTAGACACGATTTGCTGAGGAAGTCGCACTGTTAATGAGAGCAGGTCGTCTCAGACATATGCATGCCGTAGGAAAGAGGCCTGCATGAATGAAGAAGAGGACGATGATGATGAGTATGCACAAGTTTCTATTGCTCTTAACTTTCCGCAAAAGAAGTGGGTATATAATACACATATGCGCGCCTCTCCCAGCGCAAACATCCTTGCTTTTGGGCATGACCCAATCATGCTACCTATACAAGCCCAAGTCTAAGCCTAAGCCTAGATTTCCATCTCTTCATCACCCTCCACAAGCCCCTCCACATAACCCGATAAATCATTCCACCAAGTTCATCCAACCAAGTTCCTCCAGGTGAACGCGTAAAAACAAAGAAAGAGCGAACGGACGTCCGAGGCCAGCCATGCGGGTGGGGGGTATCTCGAAACCAAGCTAAAGAGCGAAAGTAGAAAACAGAACAAAGGTCGTTAAATATTTCCCTCACTCACACACATTGGAGTGGAGGAGAGAAGCGTCGTGCGTATGAATGTAAGAGTTGTAAGGAAAGAATGGGGGTTTGGGTGGCCTCAGGCACAAAGATGACAGATGGAGAGTAGAAGTGAACGCCGTGAGATGCATGAATGTGGTGATTCCAAACGTTGTATGAGATAAAGTGAAATGAGGGAGATCAGTAGTTGTAGCTGTTGTCGTAGCCACGAGGCGCAGTGGGGGTGTAACTGCGTTGTTGCTGTTGTTGTTGGGGTCCAGAGACGGGTGTGTAGCTACGTTGGGGGCCGGGACCCTGAGGTGTGTAGCTACGGGCAGGAGGTCCCTGAGCCCAACCTGGTTGTTGAATCGGTGCTGTTGCACTTCGTTGTTGTTGTTGAGGCGGCGCTGAGCCGTTCATCCCTCGGTTGGGGAAAGGTTGCGAGGCTTCGCGACGCTGGATTGCAGATTGCAGTGATGCTGGGACACCAGCTCGGGGTGGCGCGGTGCCAGATCGTGGAGGCGCGGTACCTGAACGTGGTTGCGATGGTAGACCCATGGGTTGTGATGGGGCGGGTGAGCCAGCTCTTAACAAGCTGGGCATTTGAGGTGGCTGGTAGTCGGGCTGTCCATTTGAGTCCGAGAAGTAGTGCTGCGAGATATCTTCTGTGGGGTTGACATCGACAGGTGACAGCTCATACTCCGGGCCCATCTGAGGACCCCGGCTGTCGTAGGGGCTGAACTCTTGGTACGGTCGGTTGGGGTGAGCTTGTTGTGGTGTATTCCGCGCATCGAGGGGAGTGATGAGTTGAGGATCGTTCTCGTATCGCCCGTTGTTGTAGCTTGTATCCACAGGGGGCATGGGGCCACGTGGTGGGAGTGGGGACGCTCTGCCCTGTGACATTGGTGTGAAAGGTCGGTCGGATTGGTATGGCAGGTTGTCTTGCTGGCCAAAGTACCCAGTGCCGTTACGGTCCAGAGGTGGCATTTGGGGCGCAGGCGACGACCTGCCCATACCTCCCGCCTGGTTCAGCATTGGCGCGTTTGAAGCGAAGCTGGCAGTCGAGAAGTTTGTGAATTGTGCGTCCCGCTCTGGCATGCCAGGTCGCTCGTCTAGCGTGGGCAGAGACGGCTTGTTCATCAAGTTTCGGCCCGAGTTCATGGTGTTGAAGGTGTTCGAGGTGTTCGATCGCTCCGGGTTTGTTCTGTATGAAGGTGTGTTTGCGAGGGTATATGGGGGCAGTGTCGCGGTGGTCTGCATCGTATCAGATCGTTGCAGCGAGAAGACAGTCGATGTATCGTCATCGTCGCCTTCGAGCTTGGGTAGCGTAGGACGGGACTTGGAAGCGTCAAATTCGCCCTTCTTGATGGCCCTCTCCTCCTCCCTCTTCAGCTGCTGGTTCTGCTTCTCAATAGCCTTCTTGATCTTCTTGCCCACAATGCGCTCCAGACGGGTTTCGACCTTGCGTCGGCAGTAGTTGGTAAGACTGCCATCGGCCTTGGGGATGTAGTGCCAGAGGAAGAAGAGGTACAAGATACCAGCGATGATGAGACCCAGCGCAGCGATGACCCAGATGACGAGAGAGAACAACATGGTGAAGTAGATGACTGTTTCCTGCTTGTTGCCGGTCTCGACCATGAGCTTGATGTTCATGAAGAACTGCTCGAAGTTGGAGCGATCTTCCGACGCGTGCTCGCCGACGGGTATGAGCTGCGCTTGCATGACGGCGTATAAAGTCATGGCATTGAGGGCGATGCGAGGTCCCTGGGCGACAATGATGAGAAGAGCGCTCTTGAACTGGAAGTATACGAAGAGAGCGATGTAGTTGGCACCCTTTTTACTCTTGGTCAACTCTGCGAAGACCAAGAAGCGGCGCCAGCCCTGGCCAGTCTTTGTGATGCGCATACTCTGCAGTATAGCAGCCAATGGCTCGAGGTAGCATTCGGTGACACTTCCTGTCCGCATGACGCGCAGAGCCCGGATCCATCGGTATGCGAGAAAGACGTAGGAGACGATAATGGTGATGGCGAAGATCCATTTGGCAATGTCGAAAGGCACGGTAGGTTTGACCTGGCTGGTCCATTTGTCGAAAGCGAGGAGGTTGACGGCGGTGAAGGCATCGGCAGCGTAGACGGCGCATGAGATGACGACCAGAATCCACAACCAGGCATACGAGAAGGGTGCGAGGCAAGATGTAGACTTGAAGTCGGACAAGTTCTAAGGCAATTAGCGATGCGCTTCCATATTCGCGCTCAAGTGCTTACGATATAAGTCCACTTCTGCTCCTCCGTCACCGTAGTTCCCTTTTCGCGGTCTCCGCAGCACCCCATGTTGGCGATTCGGTATTAGTCGGTATGTACGTATGTGTGTATGTAAGTATCCGCTCAGCGGTACGGTGGCCTGCAGTCCAGCTGTTCGTCTAAGGAGTGACTTGGTCGCTAGGACATGGGTTGGTCGTTGTAGCCAAAAGGAGGAGGCAATTTCGGTTGTAGAGTGAGTATTCGCGATATGGTGGTGACAGGCCGGCTGCTCACCACTAGCGAGCGAGGGAAAGAGCGACAGGGGCGGTAGTTTTGTTAAGCAGGCGGAGGATTGCGGCGGGTGGCCGGGGACGGAGGGCTTTCCAGAAAGGTGGGTGTTCGGAATGCTACCAGAGTGCCGTGCGCATGACAAGAGACGTGTGCGCGTGGGTGGAGCGTTGCGTGTTTGAGATGCGCAAGGCTTGAACAGCGGTGACAGCGGAAGAGGCGTGTCCGATGGCTGCGTACGTATATGTATAGCAACAACAGTGGTATTGTTGTTACTCGGGCTATTGTTGCTGGCTTTGCGCCGTAGTGAATGCGACGGCTATAGTTGTGGTGAACGAGTGGGTACGGGCGTCAGGGAGCGGCAGGCGCGAGGGGGTGTCGAGCGGCAGTCGCAAGATCAACACAACACGAATGGAGTACAAGATGCTATGGCGCGAGCAAGTGAGTGAATCGCAGCGCAGGCGTCTACGTTTGTCGATGGAGCACAAAACCGCCACGAGTGGTGTCGAGGGAGCGTCAACAGGTGATACTCGGTCGCGTTCGAGGGCAGCGGCTGGCGGAGGGTTGAGGCTTGTCTGCCATTGGCCGGCGCCACATCCGTCCTTGTTTGGCCCCATGCCTCACCTTGCCCAAGATAGCAGCCCGCTAGCCTGTTCCTCTCATCATGCGCCGCAATCGCCGTGGGGTAAATTGCGATTCCATCTAACAAAGACCCTATCACCGCTTTGGCCGCCTCTACTTCGCCATGTAGACAACTGCCCCACGAGAACTTGACCTCCAGAGAGGCTTCTCGCACCACCTGTGGCTGTGGCACAGGCGGTTGCAACAAAAGCGTATCATCCTGCTCTTCGGCGTGTTATGCCACACTCCCTGTCCGAGGCATGCATGCAAAGCTTCCAAAAGGGCGTTCGGCCTTGCCGGCAAGTTCCCACATAACGTCACGCGAAGAAGGACCGGTTACGTGGGAAGCATCGGGAACATCGGCTGCCTCAGCCTTGAAGCCTCAGCCATCTCGAAACGAAACACGCGTGATGCG